GCAATCTGTCAAGGCCTTTTTAAGAGAATGGTTTTTTGAGGGAGCTTTCCTCTCAGTTCGTGAGCTGATAACACATGAAAACCTCAACGTTTGGCTGAGAAAGTGGCAGTTTTACGACGGGGACAAGAGCGTGGAAACCATGACATCAGCTGATTGCAAAAGTGCTGCGTTACATGATTGTATTTCATGCTTTGTTGGGGGGAAAGAAAAAAAAAAAGAAAACACTCAAAACCCAGTGGATTAATAAATTCATAAAAACATCAGTTTTACAACTGCTGCTCTTCTCGTCACTCATCTGTTTCTGCCAGACTTGGATCTGTGCCACTTCAATTAGAGGAGAAAACAAACAGCAAAAAATGCTCCTTTTTTTTGCCTTTTGACTGGTTTTGAGAAGGAATAAAATAAAAAAACAAAACACTTGAATACACGCCAAAGCTGTTTGTAATTTCTACAATAGAAATGTAGTAATAGCACATATGGGGCTTGAAAGCAACATAAGTGAGACGGCTGTGTAGGTATCATCGTCAAAAAGCCTCGAAATGTATAGATATAGATTTGTTTTATCTTGTTCATGTGGCGTTTTTATCTGCTGGGAGACGTTAACAGTCAACTTTGATGCAAAGAGAACAAAGAGGGGATTTAACCCTCTGAAATCGAAGCACTTCCTGAGTTTTTATTTGCTCCTGTCACATTTTTACCCACTGTGGGCCCATTTTTCACCACAATATAAAGTCCTGCACCTCTGTGGAAACAGAACAACCATGACTAGAAGGACAGAACATGTCTTTTAATGCATTATAACACAGCTATAATACCATTTTTTCCCAATACCAATTTTTCGTAAACACATTTTCAGCATTTTCACACTTTGTCAGAATCTTTTTGCCAAGTCAGTGTTTGTTGTAAATGAGTCAATCCTGGCTTCTCAGTTGCACCAAGGAACGCAGAATTTTTTGTTTTTTTACACAATCTGGTTAACAGTTTATATTTGGTAAGTTTTTGAATACAGGGAATTTGATGAAATATCACAATTTTGTGTTCTGATTTGGGTCATTTTTAAGTGGAACGCATATTAGTTAAAAAAAAAAAAATGTTTGAAAAGTAGAAAATCCAACAATTCTTTCACTTTTTTTTTTTTTTTTTTTTTTTTAAGTTTGTGGATCTTACAAATGATTTAACTGTGGATTTTTAGAAATGTATTCATTCTTTTTTTTTTTCCCCTCCAAAATCAATCTCATGCATTTTGACCCTGATGGCAGGTTTTGGGGTCTCAGAAGGTTAAATCTTTGTAGACGATGTCTGTGGCGCTCAAACAACAAGACTTTTAATTGACTTGTTCACAGACAGAAGATGAACTGAAAACAGCTTTCATAATTGCGTAATTGTTGTAAGTCTGAATCAGTCCACGTTAATTGGTTCCAACTTCCGACGTGGAGGAATTTGTCGCTGTGTTGCTGCTTTATTTATTTAGTTGAAGAAAAGTAGCACCATGGTCTCTGTAGACACATTGCAAATGGATGTTTTTGCTTTTGTTTCTGATCTTTTGTAGAAAACAGGATTGCGACGATGATTAGAAGTCATTTGTTAAGCAAAACCACCAACTGTTGTAGGGTGTCTTCTCCAGGGTGAAACTTTTCCTCTTTTTTCTCGTTTCAGGAAGCTCATCAACATTTTTTGTTGTCATTTGACACTAAATAATGATTTCAGGTAATTAGCTGATGAAAAAATTACAGTTTTTAAGCACTTTTTTTTGCATTTTTTGCAGCTTTATTGTTTTTTTTTCATGCTTTAATTAAAAAAAAACAACAAAAAAAACAAGTGTGCTTTGTAGCAGCAGCGCAGCCCTCAGAGATTACCGCTTTCTCGCTGTCATGCACGCACAAACAGACACACATTACCATCATCATCACCCATCACCGCCGCTGATTCACTTGCCACAGCCGCAGACAGACGGACGGACAGACACCCTCCCCTGACAGCCATTAAGGCGTCTTTCGGCGCGGCAGCTGCGGGCGGCTGATGGGTGGTTGCGCGCCTTGTCGTTGTCACTCTTGTTTTGCCTGCGCGTTATTTATTGAACGTTTTCCCGTTCTCAAATTTAGCTCACGACGCCGCGCGGCTTGTACTTTCCAATATTGCTGGCAAAGTACAGTTAGCAGTGACATCCCCGGGATTTATTTACTTAAGTGTAGATGTCCCTGTTTGTGCACGAGTGTGTGTACGTGTGAGAGATATGGCTTGCCCTCGCTTGTAAAGTGATTTGTCTTTTCTCCCGTCTCTGCCGCGCGCTCCAGTAAAATGATTCTGTTAAACAAAATTGCCTGAAGATTACACACACACACACCACACACATGCAAGTGCACGCAAACTGCACACAATGGACATTATAAATGAGTTCTTCCCCAGAGTGCGGCTTTTTTTTTCTTCTCTCTCTTCCTTATAACTGGTCTTGAAATAAAGAGGACAGCATGTACGCAGTATCTTTGGCATGTGTGTCTGCTGTTAGTGGACCACTTTTTTTCCTGATGTTTATTAAGATACTTTTTTTGTACCTTCCTCCCAATTTCCTCTCTTTTCTCCTTCGCCGTACCCCCTCTTCTTTTTCTTCTCTTCCCGGGAATATTAATCTTGTTGTTGTTTAGAGCGTGAAGCGGCTTAAGAATCTCTGAATCTTTAATCACTCGCCCCTGGGCTGACCAGTGTAGTTAGGAAAGAGTGCAGTTGGAGACAATATAATGGTTATCATTGCTCACTTATCCTGGCTCCCAGATATCTCTTGTTCTATTTTTGTTGCTCCAAAAACTGCCTGTTCTATCAGTTGTTTAATTCACCAGACAGATCCTTACTCCTATCTCCAACATCTAGTGCTTGGCTCGAATTACCGAGCGCGTGTCCGTGTGCGTGCCTGTCACATTGCTGCGATACAATGAAAGTCATGGAGATAATTTTGACGCCTGGGCATGAATCCATTCATCATCAGCTGGGATTAGGTGTTTTTGTTTGTGTATTTTTAATCAGCCATTAATTAATTAAGGACAATGGGTTTTCAGCTGATAATTGGTCCAGCAATCAATCAACTGACTCCCTGACATGCACATTTGCACACTCTTAACGAGATACTCTCAATTAACCTGACTCTCCCCTCAGTCTGTGCAGGCGGCAGACCTCTTTATCGCCACCGGAACCACGTAGGCTTAATGAAAAGAGAAGAGAACTCCAAAGAGCAGGAGGGAGGAAAAAAAATTAGGAAACTCTCCAGCTAATAAGACTGCCTTAACAAGAAAGAAGTGCTGCTTGTTGTGCTCGCCGTTGTGTGTAGCTCGGCCGTAGCGTCTCGGTGTGTGCGTGCGTGCACGGCCGCGCGCGCGTCTTTTATTCTCGCCCTTCACCACGGGTGATTGGCTAACAGTCGCCTCCAACCTGAAGTTGACAAAAATCAATATATCATCACCTGGGGCCTCACACACAAACACCACAACCGCAGGTTCCAGGAGGAGGGAGACGGAGCAAAACAAACACACAGCCTACTTTAGTCAAGGTCTGATTTCTGTAATGGAAACTTCCCACTGAAACTGACCCAGACAGCACTGTGACAAAGGTCACCTAGCATTAAACTCCTCTGAGACCTCAAACCGCCTCTCCAGGACACCGCAGAGAGGAAATCAGAGAAATGCTCGTGAGGAGGGGGGGAGAGGGTGATCTTTAGGTTCGCCACGCTGTCCTGCGGAGTGCAGACGGGATACCGAGAATATATCGAGTGTTAATACCAGTAAATGGATTAAGAGTGCCATCGAAGACGGTGGCTAAAGTGACTATTGACCGTGCGATAAGCACTGGTGAGTGTGTCTATCGACGGCCGTGTCTGTTGTCTTGTTGGTATTGACGATGCTGTGTATGGGATGCTGACCTCTTAGATGCTTATCAGACCTTCTGATTGCTCTGATTGATCGAGCTGCCTGCAGGATGCACAGCACCGCGTGCAGGAACAATGTGTTTGTTGGTCTGAACTGAGGAGAGATTATAAATGTGCACTGATGAATAAGTTAAAAAGTTTCTTTTCTAGTTTGTCTGTTCTCTGAGGGTGTTTTTCTTACAAAAAAAAGATAATTCCAGAATTCTATTTGAGTCTCTTAACCCTGGCTTTCTTGTCTTTTTCTCTACATTTAGATGGCGGTGGATGTGTTGGAGGGTCTTCTGGAGGAGGATGATGAAGTCGTCCAGGTAAGAAATAAAGTCATGACCTAGCAAAAACATCAGCCTGGCTTTCTCTCATATTTTCTTTCGTTTTTTATGCCACTATTATGCCTTCTCTTCTCACAATGGCCCACAAAAAAAGATAAAGGCTTTTCAATTGTACACATTCAGTTGGCAGAATAAGAAATCTGCTTTAACTCACATGTAAAACGTCCCATATTAGTTTTATGTAACGCTTTCACACAAACCTTTAAACCCGCCCGTCAATGTTCATTTTCTGTGCCGATATTTCATGTTAAAGCCGTTACTGGTCGACGCTGATGGCGGTGTTGATGTTATCATGCTTCTGTTTGTTGCCTTTCACTTTTCAATCTCAAAAGTCATCTTCAACTCCTTGTAAAGGTGCATTTCACAAGCGCGACAACATGCAAGGATTGTAACAATAGCTGCCTGCCAAAACATTTTGCTCTGATGCTCTACGCTGCTGAAAAGGGAAAATTATGAATGTTGAGGTATTCTTCTGTACTATTCCACCATGTGTAAACCACTTACCAAGTGTCAGAATGTTTTGTGTCTCTGAAACTGGAAATTCTGCAGTTATTTGTTGATGTGGATGTTTTGCTCCACATCGATTTTTGTATTGTGAGGATGTTTGTCTTCAGCCTTGTTCCCGGTCTAGTGTTGTGCTAATTGAAAAATGTTTCCTTTGGTGGCAGAAAGTAAAAAGATGGTTAATGTAGCTACAGACAAGGGACAAATTGAAGGAAAAAGTCTGTCTCAGTCGGGTGTTGGGCCGCCACGTGCTAATAAAACAGATTCAGGGCACGTCTGCTGGAGGAATAGAACCACATCTGGGTGATAAAATGACAGCGATGTGTACAGGCGATGGACATTTCATGTTCTGTAATTTCATTTACATACATTAAATGCAAAAAAAAAATGTGAATGCATAACAAAAACGCAGTTTGGTGCATGAACGAGCCGTAAGCATGCTCCCTCCCTGGCTCATGAACAGGCTATTATCTCCGTTAATAATGGAGCCCCCTTTGCCCTCTATCATCCTCCCTGCTGGATGCCATGCTTGTCTCCCAACATGCTGCCACTTGGGCCTCTTGTCGCCCCCGTTCTCATCGTCAAACCTCCCCCGATGGAGGCTGCGTCCTCGTGTCCTCCACCACCTTCACCTCAGCGACGCGTTGCTGTCGAGCTGCTCAGACGGACTTGACATTGGGCTGCACACGGAGACCAGCGCAGGGCCCCTCGTCCGGCGATGGCTTCGCCCTGGTCACCCTCTGTGCACCTTTTGGGTACCCAGCATTTACAAATCATTTTTCCATTGCATGCATTTTCTAACACTTCATTTACTGAACTCAAGAGTTTCTTTGAATTTGTTTTTTTTCTTGCATCCTTTGGGTGGGGTTGCAGGGTGGCGCAGTTGGTAGCACTGTTGCCTCGCAGCAAGAAGGTCGCCGGTTCGCGTCCCGGTGGGGGCACCGGAATCTTTCTGCGTGGAGTCTGCGTGTTCTCCCCGTGCAGCGTGGGTTCTCTCCGGGTTCTCCGGCTTCCTCCCACACAGTCCAAAAACATGTTGAGGTTAATTGGTGATTCTAAATTGTCCGTAGGTGTGAATGTGAGTGTGCTTGGTTGTCTTTCTCTCAGTGTGGCCCTGTGATAGACTGGTGACCTGTCCAGGGTGTCCCCTGCCTTCGCCCTAAGTCGGCTGGGATAGACTCCAGGCCCCCGTGGCCCTAGTGAGGATTAAGCGGTGTATAGATGATGGATGGATCCTTTGGGTGTTCGGTCAGTTCACCTTGAAGCTGATTTTACTATCTTTATGCATCAATGTGAGACCATCCTTTATCCAAATAACTTTTCGTTGTGGGTAAAATTACTCATTTTTGTGTATTTTTACGTTCAATTACTACCTGTGTGAAAGGTGGTTAAATTTAAGATAAACCTTTTTTGTCTGCTGTTATTTATTTCAAAATAGATCAATAACTATCAGTGTCATTGTCACCCGGCCCTAAATGGAACATCGTTCCTCCGAAAGATATTAGTAGTGGTGAGCGTTGTCTGACATATTGATTCAGTGTGAAATGTTTCATCATAGAGTAGAAGTGTTGACTGTAAACAGCTTTGTATTGATTCACAGTGACCCCTCCCTCTAAGGAGATAACTAGACCTGCACCTCTTTTCCCTTTAACCTCACCTCAGCTGGTCGGGCCAGACGGCCGCCCTCCCTGAGCCTGGTTCTGCCGGAGGTTTCTTCCACTTAACAGAGTTTTTTTCAACCTCAAAACTCAATGGAAATTTGTTGCCTTTTTCCTTATAATGAAATGTTGTAGGAGCTTTTACCTTACTGATGATGGTATACAAATAACTGGATTGACAAACCAATCAAGCAGCATAACAGAATTTGTCACCCATCTGCAGCTAACTGTCTACTGAGCTCCATCCAGGAAGACAACAAACTCTTAATTCACACGTTTGTTTAAATGTCTTGAAAAATCGCCACCTCCTCGTGAACTCCTCTTCCACGCCTAAAGAGCCGCAGAACACAATGCAGTCCTGGATGAATGAAGTGAAACTAAAATAGCAGTTTAGTCTGATCATCAGACCAGCCTGTCCTGATTCTTAAACAAACTCTGTGCTCTCGGGGGAAATGTGTAAATGTGTGTGTTACTACTCGTCAATTCAGGGGATTAGGTGGTGTCTTTTTATGAGTCCCCTCGCGGGCATCCTTATTATTATTACGATGCAGGATGAGACCAACTTGGAGGCAAATCTTTTCCCAGCGGAAAGCAGCAGAAAGTTCCTCCTCGTCAGTTTCTGATACCTCTCTATATCTGTATTGCTCGACACTTATGTGCTCACAGTACGAACTTAGTACAGAGTGGTGTAAATGGCAGTATTTTCCTGTGCTTTAGTGTGCTCCACATCCCCACTGTCGGTGCCACAGCAAAGCGAAGGTGTGCCACTGAGTGTCAGATAGAAGAGCACGGCGGTGTCGCTCTCTCTCTCTCTCTCTCTCTCCCTGCCTCCCCCACTCCCCCTCAGGCTCAGCCTCCCACACACACCCCTCAGCTGACAGATTGAGAGCAGTCATCGGGGGGCTGAACTTTTAAACTCACTTCAGAGACGCACAGCTGTGACACTCAATCTGAGCCGGGCCCGCAGCCAATCACGTATATGTACACTTCTAATGGTCAGAAAGTGCGATCACATCGCGGCCACGTTGCCAGAGTCGTGCAAGTGTATGACAGACATATTTTACTTTATTGTAGTGCCACACTCATTCTCCCCTCCTTCTTTGTCTTACTTTCTCTCTTATTTTTCCCTCTTAAGTGCAGCAGATAAGTGGTTAGCTCTCGTTTCCGTCTACTCGCACTATCTCAAAGTTGGAGCCTCACTTATATAAGTCTGCACAAACAAGCGAGCTAGTTCCTTGCAAATCTTGTTTCAAAGGTATTCTGTTGATTCATGATGCTTTTGTTCTTCCTTCGGCAGCACCATATGGGAACTAAGATGTGCCTTCACTTTGAAATTACAATAGTCCCAGTGATTTGATTGACAGACACTGGATTTATTTTATTATGTGTGCTTCTGTCTGGGGTTCTAGTAGGGTAGAGTGGAGTCTCTGAAGTTCTTAATTAGCTAACTTTCTCATGTTTTAATTTCGAGTGCAGATGCTCAAGCAATTCTCAACGCATACGCAAATATTTCACAGTGGACCATCTGCACGAAATTCTCAAGCGCTTGTTTTAAAGACATGCAGCGGTTCTCATTTTTTTTGCTGCTAAAATTCTGAATTCAAGTGACCCCATTTCACTCTTCCTCGCTCCACTGAACACATATATGCAAAAGAATGCATTTTTTTTTTAAGTTCTGCATTCACAGAAAAATGCTTCAGTGGTAAAAAAAAAAAAAAAAAGGAATGTCATACTGCTGGTTCTGCAACATTACTACATTTCATCCAGTGCCGCTGTTGTTCCGATAAGTATGGCTGCAGGGGGTAGCCTCCCACTCAGCATGCTGAGCGGCAATTCGGGATTCAGTGTGGCATGCCTTGATGTGTTTGTTAGCTAAATGGTTGATTTGGCAGAGGTGCAGTTCCCCACTGCCTCTGCCCTCAATGAATAATGAATAAAGCTAATATTCGTATCTTGGTGCTTGAAGAACAGTGGGTGGGTGATCTTTGGCCTCAGATGAGAGGCGCACACACACCTCCAAGTTCAGCGAGAGTTGAACGTGGTTGTGTTTAGAGGTGGAAGCATAGCTGAGTGTATGTGATTATGTAGGGGCAAGGAAGTGTGATTATGGAACAAGAAAGGAAACAAGCTGATTGTGGTGCGTCGCAGCACGCACAAACCCACGGGTAGAAATAAACCTCTCCCTTTAGAACTGTGTGGAGCAGAAAGATTGTTCCAAAATAATGCTCTGGTTTCTTTTTTTAATCAAGGTCTTTCTGTCACTTAAGACACCCATAACACTTACTCTGCATGGTGCCCTGTTGAACTGAGAGATCCTCACACATCTGGTGGCAGAATCTTATTACTGCCCCTTTCAGACATGTGCTCCTTTCTGGTAATACGACAGCACCTGAATGTGTTGGTTTCACATCTAAATGAGCATCCTGCTCACATTTTCACAAAAGTCGGATCGACAATCTTACTGTGTTGGTCTTTGTATGATTCCCGTATCACTTTCAGCACAAGTCTGATTTGCATGCAGTCACAGTGAGACAGGCATTCATAACTGATGTGCTTGGAGCTGAGTGAAGCAATTGGAGGACGTCTTTTTTTTAGCACTGATGCTGCTCTAAAAGTGAGAGCAAAGAACACAATCTTAGTATTGAAATCGCAAAACACCTTTCTCGTTCACTTTACTGTGAGATTACAAACTGAAATGTCCATAGAAATAAAACTTTGCCGCAATTGAGACCTAGTCTGTAACAGGTCAGATCAGGTTTCGACAAAACTTTTAACAGGACCTGAAATTCATTTTGTAGCTTCAGGTTGTTTGCAGGA